ACTGCAGTATTGGTGTCGTCTGTCAGAGACTTCAATAACTTCAGTGGAAGAGAGCAGATGCAGAAATAAACCCAGCACATTCAGCTCTGCTCCTTGACAAAGGGCCAGAAACACACTGGAGGAAAGGCAGCCTCTGTAATAAACAGTGCTGGGAAAGCTGGCTGTCCACATGCAGGAGACTGAGTCTAGACCCGTATCTCACCCTGTGCTCCACTAAACTCAGTGGGGCAAGGAACTAAATGTTAAAACAGAACCTGCTGGAGATAAAAATGGGTAAAACTCTCGAAGTCATAGGCGTAGGCAAAGACTTTCTGAACAGAACTCCCATTGCACAGGAAATAGTACAAGGAATCAACAAATGGGATCATATCAGATTAAAAGACTTCTGCACAGCAAAAGAAACAGCCAACAGAGTGAAAAGACAACCTACGGAATGGGGAAAATTTTTTGCCAGCTATTCCTCAGACAGGACTAATATCTAAAATAAGTACCTCAAAAAATTAGACCCCCCAGAATTAAAAGACAATCAAAAAAACAGGCAAGTGAAGTGAATAGATACTCCTAGAAGTACAAGTGGTGAATACATACATGAAAAAAATGCTCAACATCTCTGGCCAATAGAGAAATGCAAATTAAAATAATGCTGAGATTCTTACCCATCATCAAGAAATCAAATGATAACATGCTGATGAGGCTGCTGGGAAAAAGGAAACCTGCATTGTTGGTGGGAATATAAACTAGTACAAACACTATAGAAAGCAGTATGGAGATTCCTTAAAAAACTAAAACTAGGGTTGTTAGTATTGAAATAGTTTAGCTTTGTATTTATAATATGGGTTTTATATAAAGTTTTAAAAAATCAAATGTACATATTCTCTGGAGGTTTTCTATTTAACATTAGTCCTCACTTTTGGTGTACACATTTTTCAGACTTTCATTAATAAAATGCTTATTTTATTAGTATTTAAAAAAAAAAACGAAAACTAGGAATCCCATTTGACCCAGCTATTCCCCTTCTAGATATCTTCCCAAAAGAGTTACAGATCTCATATTACAGTGATCCATGCATACCTGTGTTTATAGCTGCATAATTTATAATAGCTAAATCTTGGAAGCAGTCTATATGTCCATCAACAGATGAGTGGATGAAGAAAATGTAGTTTTACACAGAGAGGCATAACTCTGCCATGAAGAAAGATAAACCTGAGTCATTTGTAGGAAAATGGGCGTACCTTGAGACCATGATGTTAAATGAAATAAACCAGATATTCAAGCTTACATATCATTTGTTTTCTCTTACATGAGAAACCCAAAATATAAATAATAGGAAGTAGGGAGAGAGATCTTTCTCAAAGGGGAAAGAGACCCAAGAGATGAGGGGATGAAGGAAGAATTGATGTGGTGTGTATACTCCAGCTTCACAGGGCACATGAACACATACTGCACACATGGACTCAAAACGACCTGGGAAAGAGAATTTTCACTGAGGAAAACCGTTACAAACCGAAACGAGGACCTGAAGGTGGATTTAAGAGCCAGAGAAGGATGGCAGTGACCCTGGGGCTGGGCTGGAGAAGCTTGAGAATAGCAGGCGTATCCGACTGTGAGGCTTGCTGGGGACTGAGGCAGAGCACACTGGAGAAACAGGAACTCGGAGAAGACAAGGGTGGCAGATCCAGGGGGAGAGCAAGATGGGTCAGTGAGCAGGCAAGACTAGCATCCAAGGCCTTGTGGAAGACTTCGCTTGTAGAAGGGGTTAAGCAGGACCAAGGGGAAGGAATTAGCTCGTGGAAAGCACTGTGGATACAGGTCGGGGACTGGATTGAGATTGGGGCAGAGGAGATTCGGAATGGCCAGTCAGCCGTGTTTGCAGTGCTCCAAGTGTGGGAATTAGCATGGTGGTAATGGAGATGGAAAGAAGGGGTTTTGGGTTTTTTTGTGGGGTTTTTTTGTATTAAATTTTTTTATTGGTACGTTGTAGGTGTACAACACAAGTACATTTCTCATTGGGAATTGTACCTTTATATAATGCATCTTGGTTCTTATTTTTTCCCCATTCCTAGCCCTCCCTTCACGCCCTCCACCCTTC